GCAATAAAAAGGGCTTTTATGTCACCTATACTGCTACTTCTTATTCTTATACAGAGACCTAGACAAGTTTGCAATTTTTATTGCTGTCTTTATGAATCAAAAATCCAGTGTTGATTTATACTCCAACACATGCCTTCCTCTCTCTCTCTCTCTCTCTTATCTATCTATCTATCTATCTATCTATCTATCTATCTATCTATCTATCTATCTATCTATCTATCTATCATTTTTCTGCAAGAAGAGGACTTGAGGGACTAATTTCCAGTTTCTGTATCATTCCTTTAACGCTGGACTATCATATCACAAGGCAATGAACTGTGATTGTTATTCCAGCCAGGTGAAAGAAAATTCAGGGCATTTACACAACTTGATTAATGTTCTATCCATAGCAGACCATAAAAATTGGAAAGCTTTTTGAACAGGCTTTTACTTTATTATCTTTATTTGTAGTTTAAGATACAGTGTTAAGATATTAGCCTTTAATGGTAAAAAAATGCAATGCTTGAAGATAATGCTTAGCTTTCCTTGAGGAGAACTCGGGGCAGAAGCTAGGATTTGTCAGGTTCAATGTCCAAGCTGGAAAGAAGAAGACATTCCCTCATCTAGACCAAACAATGGAGTGAAATAATTCTCCAATCTCTGCCACATCAGTTTAGAGTAGAAGAGAATAAATATTTATTCAGAGAAGAGGGCTGACTTTGTTTAGTGGAATGTTAAGTATCTGTGGAATTGCATTTTAAGATTATGCGTGTTTCTTCTACAACTAATATCTTCGGATGCTCAGAGTGGTTCCCTCGCAGATGCACCTTAGCCATCAGTCTTCATGACGGTACAATTAGATTAACATACTAGGCTATATGATGGTTGAGTTAACTGTGATTTATTGAATAAAAACTGAGATGCATGACATGCTGGCAGTAATAAACTGTAATGTGCTATGTTGCTCGTTATAGCTTTTAAATCATAGTCTAAGGTTGAACATGCTGTGAGAACCTATCCAGTTGTGGGTAGGTAGGTCAGTAGGTAAACCATAATGTGGTGTCTTGGCCAATATAGTTTGACAATCATGGTTTAAGATTAAGCATGCTGTGTGAACCTAGCCAATCATGGTTTATGCAACTATAGTTAAGCAAACCAGGACATACCATATTAAGCCATGATTGATAATCCAAAATGGCTGGGTTCACATAGCACACAAAACTAAATGAATCACATTATGCTTTAGTGATGTGTGAAGTCTGTCAGCCGTTGTGTTCATCACAAATTACCCAACCACATTTTAGATTAGTGTGTGGTGCAAACTCAGCCTACATGGTTAATTTTGATTTTGTCATGCATGCCAAGAGCACTGAGTTGAATAAACCATCTCCAAGTTAATCATGGGTAACTATGCTTTGTGAACACAGCCACCGAACCATAAAGTAGCTAACCACATTTTAGCTTGATATATTGTGCAAACATGGCCCAAATGACTCAATTTTGGTTCAGTGTAGTGCAAGCACAAAGGGGCTGGGGGAGCTGGCAGGGAAGGTTGCAAATAACAATCACGTGATCACAGGAGTGTTGGAACAGCCAGAACTCTGAGGACCAGTCATAACCGCCATTTGTTCAGTGCTGTTGTAACTTTGAGTGATCGTTGAACAAATGGTCGTAGATCAAGGATTACCTATAGTAATCAGCAAGAGAGAGCAAGAACTGAACCAGCCCCAGACCAACAGAAAATATTTTTCTTGTGATTCCCTCCCTATTTTTCCCTTGCATCAGCTTAACATCTGCTGGACTGACCTGGAAGAAGAAAGAGACAAGAGATGTTTCAGTCCTTACCACCAGCTTCCTGGATTCAGCTGAGGTTCTGTTGCCGCATTTGCTGCTTCTAGTCACCCATTCTCTCCTTAGCAGAAGTATATTTAGGGGAGACTGATGTGGGTGGCAACACCTTCAAAGGGTGATCCTTCAAGGGAGCCACTTAGAGGCAGCAGCAGTGTCTGCAGGAAGAGTTGTCATGACACCATTATGGCTATCAGCTTCTTTTCTGACCACACTTTTGGACAGCTGCAATGATGTAAATGCCACCATCTGAGTTCAGCCCTGTTGTGATGAGAGCTGAGTTGGGAGACAGCAGCCTAGAAGATAGCTAAGTTCCTGTCCTTCAGTTCACACCCTGTAAGTTTGGGTGGGATGGTTGAGTGTGTGGGTGCCAACAGTAATTATGGAATCTTGCTTGGGATGAGTGAGTTGGGTAGTGCAGAGTTGACCCAGCTGTGCCCTCCTGACTTGGTTTTTCAATGAAGTATCAACCCAGGTTGCAGAGGTCACTGTGGTCTGTAGGAATACCATATTACTCTCCAGATAACCCTTCAAACTAGACAGAGTACAAATCTCTTAACCAGCATGGGGTCAACAAGATAAGTTGGAGATACTGTTATGTAACATCCACAGTGCTTCCCAGTAGCCTCCCTGCATGCATCAGTGTGATGTTGGAAACCCCCGGACTTCATGTAGAGGCTGTCTTAACAGTGCCAGCTTGGGATTTTATGGCCTCCATGACAACCATGGATTTTTCTCAAATTGTCATCAGACCCATATGTAAAGGTGAGCTGTACCCTTGTTTCAGCTCAAGAGGGAGATAGCGTGGATTTTGGGTGGGAGGTTACATTTACCCCTCTGTTGGGATTTGACCACTATCTGGTGAAGTTTGGTCTCATGGCATCATGCCCCTCACAGATTCCTTATGGAATCTCATGGATTCTTGGATACCCAGAGGGAATTTCCAGAGATCAGAGCTGGTGATCCTGTTAATGTTCTTGTTGACTTATGGAATGGGGAAACCAAAACAGAGTATCGATACCACTGAACTTCCCTCCAGCGCTGTGGATTCTGGACTTGGTTCTGTGGGGATCTCAGCATTGACTATTGGGCAATTTATAATTTTTTAAAATAAATAAATAAATAAACAAACTCTGGTGGCAAAGGCTGGAATGAAGGTTTACTCTGCATTTGCAATTCACCGTTCAGAAAACCTTTTCATTTCGAAACATTTCTCGCTTTTGCTTATTTGCTTATTTATTTCTTGCTACTCTTACACACCTGAATCCTTGGACTGCAAGTCTAAACCCCACCACGTAACCTTTGTGCTACTTTAGCAACTGAGTAGTCTGCTAGTTCCACACTGTAGCATGGGACTCTTTGAAGATCTACCTTTGAAGATTACCAGCTGCATGAAATCATTGGAGAAGAAACTTTGCACCGAGGTGAAGGGAGAAGACGTGGCTTGCGGAACAGAGGAAAACACGCTCTCCTCATGGCTCCAGGTATGGCCTTGCGGCATTGTGAAGGAATGGTACTGGGGAAAACGAGGGAGGGGAACCAAAAATGTCTGGAACTGCCCCATTTCATAATTGCTCCATTCTCCCATCTCTGTAGGTTTTACATAGGTTACAAAGACTGGTTTATGTAAGGCCCACACCGATACCATGCCACGGAGAAGCTCGACTCAGAGTAAATCTCAATTTCAGTCAACAGTTCAGTGAGGTTTCGTAGGGGTAAATGGTAATGCAAATGTCTTAAAAGCGCAAGTGGGTAGACAAACACAGGGGGATTTAGGTGGAAGATGTCAAACTCGGGACCCTTCCTTGTTTAAGATGTGGCGAACGAGGGGAGCCCAGAGTGGTCCAACACATTTTGCCACCTAGCCGGAGCACCAAAGGAAGGCTTATCCTCACTCCAACACCCATCCTAAGTCTGAGTGATGAATAAAAACCAAGCAATTATTTTTCCACATGAGGTGGAAAGCTATAAACAGCTCCCTCATTCCTGACAGGAAAGGACAATATAATAAACAACCAGCCAAAATAAATAAACTGCTCATCCAGGCCACCCAGAATTTGTCATGTGAGATTCTGTGCCTATTTATTTCTATTTGTTTATTGCTCCCACGGCTTTCCTGCTCTCCTCCCAATGGCTCAGAACCAATACTTGTACGGTCTCCCTTGAGCCAAGCTCTGTTCCCAGGGTCTACACGGACATATCCACGTAGTTGTCTCAGCAGGAATAATTAAGGGGTTTACCACGGCCTTTGGCTGGATTGCATTTGTTTATTTTTGCCTTCCTAGTGGTCTCCCATCCAAGGAGTAACCAGGTTTGGCCAGGTTTAGTTTGTGCTGCCCCCTGCTGACAGGAGGCTGATGGGAATGAGCCAGGCTGGGCGCTCCAGGTGGCTCTGGGATTTCTGGAGGCGTCCTCCCCAAGATGGAGGGTGGGGGGGGAGGCACCAAGATGGGGAAAGTGCCTGCCTTGAAAAAACTTGAGACAGGTCCGGCTGGACCCAGCTGCAGGGGGCTTCATATCAAGCAGCAACTCCTGGTTATCCTGCGGAGTCCCTGGGCTCTCTGAGCTGGGTGGCTTGCTTGCAGACGTTTCATGACCCCACTAGGTGACATCATCAGTGCACTGGCGCTGGTCTGCAAGCAAACCACCCAGCCCAGAGACTCCAGGTTCAACCTTGAGCTATAGCTACTCTCTTCTCTTATAGCTGTCGCTCCAGCCCGGCCCTCCCGCCGTGAAATGAATCCGCGGCGGCCGGCGCGGGGAGAAGGGCCGGGGGCTGCCA